CTAATTTTGTTAATAGATGTTGAATTATACAATTAAGCATTCAAGAAATTAGCAGCCCCTGACTATAATAGAATATTATTGTACAATATGTCTCATCCTATGAGGGGTGGAACAAGTTAATACCCAGTCTTTTAAGAAGCTGGTATTTACCCTGGCAGTGGTGCCACTTGCCTTTAATCCCAGCACTTGGGAGGCACAAGCAGATGAATCTCTGAGTTCAAGGCCAGCCAGGGATGTACAGCGAAACCCTGTCTTAAAATAAATTAGAAAAAGGAGAAGGAAGAAGAGGAGAAGGGGGAAGAAAGGAGAAGAAGGAAGAGGAGGAGGAGGAGGAAGAGAAGGCATTTAATGAAATAAACTTTGATCCATGCACCATAATACACATTATTATGTAGCAATGATCAATAGAGACAAAGAACACATATGTGTCTCCCATTCAACAGATGACTGGGGTAGCAAGAGTTACCAGCGAATCTAATTACTCTGGCTCATGAAACAGAGGTAGATCATCTTGGTGCCCTCCTACAGGCATCCTACTAGTACACAATACCTCTTTCAAGGTTTGGAGTCAGGAGAGTATGTTTTCCAGATGTGATAGAGTTTCTTGTGGCAGAACCATTCAGGTGCCTAAGCTGGTTCACAGCCTAACTAAGGACACTCAGGTCCTCATACATGTTATGTCATTTTTGAAGATGGATTGCTACAATGCTTCATGCTTGGGACAATACAGGCAAACCATGTGCAGGCTGTGGTTATTACAAAGCTCAAGAGCATGCTGTTCAAGGACAATCATGCAAGGTTGTAGCATTCAGGCATCCTCTATCAGTGCAGCACCTGCTCTCTTCAGGAGTCAAACACACAAGTATCTCGTCCAGGAATAAAAGTACCATGAACAAAACAAAGAAATACAGCCAAAGCTGCACTACAACAACAACAACACACACACACACACACACACACACACACACACACACACACACACACACCAAAGAACAAAAGCATCCTTTGCCTTTTGTTTCGCATTAATACTCTGCCTTTAAAAGTACGTCTTGTTATCAGCATAAGTCATAACAGTACAGGTTCCTTTCTTTGCAGTCTTTCTGATATTTCTAACTAAACTCCTATATTTTCTGTATTTTTTCAGTTATCCAATATTAATAATAGCAATGAATATAACCAGCCACCCAAAATGCCACTTCAAAACAACCATCATCGTGTTTTTGCTCACAGTGCTGAGTGTAGCTAGTTAACTCCTCTAAAACATCTTTCCAGGCACTGCAACTCAAGGAAAAGGGGAGCGAGCTGTGCCACCACGGAGGCTGATGTCACAGGCAGTGCTGAGAACACACTGCACGCCCACCTTCATCAATCACTCACCAATCTTACTTTGCATCTTGGCCACAAAAGAAAATGGGATTTGTTTCCCTGAAGAAATATGTCACTGCTCTACCTGAATTATTAAGCTTTACTGTTACAGAAAGAACAGTCAAGGAAAAAGGAGGGGAAAATAAAACTAGAGCCAGGTCGCCATCTACAGTCAGAAGGTACCATTGCTGGGCCAAGGAGCATTTACTTCACAGAGTTTTGGGTTTTTTCATTTTTTTTAAGCAAAACATGACAGTAAAATCATAATTATTTTTAAATATCATAATAAGAATGGTATACAGGTAAGGAACATTGGAATAAATATATGTATATATTTTAATAAATACTAGAAAATTAACTTAAATATTCACTCTAACCATAAAACTTAAGACTCTGGGGAGGGCACGGGAGGAGGGGAGGGAATGGGAGAGGGACCTGGAACTGACTTGTGAAGCAACCTCGTTTCTTATCTAAATTTAAACTGGAAAATAAAATTTAAAAAAAACTTAAGACTCTGAAATACAACCAAATAGCTCTCAATACATTTTTAGCAGAGAAGACAAGGGTTTCACCTCTAAAGCAGCCCCCATGCGTTTTTGCTTCCACCCTGACTCCCTGCACCCTACACATGGCTTTTGCTTATGATTTCTATTCCTTTCACTTGAGTCCTCTAGAGACCTGAGCATCAAGAAGCACACACTTGATTCCAATTACTAAAATAGATGACATTAAAGTAAAAGGCAGCTTTGATTACAAATGAATACAAAGGCTGAATTAGGGGAGAGACACGTGACATTATAATCTGGAAACCTCTTACAGTCAAGAGCATCTTGGGAGAGATCTTTAAGAGAAGTTGCTTGGATTTCACTCATACAGATAAGAACTAATACACTTAAATTTCCCAATTGGCAGCCGCAGCTACCGAACTGTACCTTTTCTTTCATTTTTTCATGGAAAACAAATGTTTTTGAAAGTCAAGGTTTATTTGGGGAGGTCATAGAAAAATGTATGTAAATTCTTCACCTCAGCCTTCTAAGTCTTCTAAATCAGTAGTGTACCGCTTGTGTAGAGGGGGAGAAACCAGTCCCAAGACCTTTGTTTGATAGGAACTCACAGTTTTATAGAGAATAATGAGCTAGAGCTGTTTAAGAACCAGTGGCCCTTGAAATACAAAGTTAGCTTAGAAATACCCACTTAGGATGGGAGGTTAACTGAAGCAACTGCACTTTCTCTCAAGACCAGGACAGGCCACTAAAGGAGTATACCCTTTCTGATCACAGTATTAAACACTATAGAAACATTATTGAATATCTATGTGAATATCCGCATATGCCAAAGATGCTTATCATTCAACTTGCCAACACAGTCGGATTCCCAGTGAAAGGAATGCTAATCCAATCCTGTGTTCCCCAGCCTGCACAGGGACCACTAGTAAGTCCAAAGACTTAAAATACACATACTGTAAGTAGACATGGGACTTCTGTGCACTGGTAAGAACCTCACAGACAAAAGGCAAATAGCATCTTCTCTCCTTAACCAAATAATTTATTAAAAGCTTTAAATAGGTCCAGCTTCTTGATGGGGTTTAAAGTATTACAGAGACTCAACCATTTTTAATTTCCACCATTTATTTGAACAACCGGTACTAAGTGCCTGGATTCCATTATACATAGGCTGGTACTGGTAATTTTTTTAAGACTCTAGTTTTAGTAGCTCATGCCAGCACTCAGAAGACTAAGGCAGGAAGATTGCCATGAGTTTGAGACCAGCCTGGGCTGTGTAGTGAGTTCCTAGTCAACCTGAGCTAGAGTGAAACCTTATCTCAACAAAACATTGTCCATACATGGTTTAGGAGCTTTCAAATACAAAATATGTTTATCAAAATAGGACCTCTATTGTTTTAGCTTTCAAAAATGGCCTGTTTCTCCAAGCTAACTTGTTTTTCTGACCTTCCTGCTATAAAATAGACATCCAACAATACCTACCAGCTATTTCATCCTGACCTCCTCAATGTCTGTCTCTAAACATGATATAACAACATGCTATGGGCATGCAAATCTGTGAGGAAAGTGACAACGTGAGCTCACAATTAGGAGGACAGTGGGACAGTGGGACTGGAAGGAGGAAGTGGACTGCCTAAAGCCAGCAGCAGAGGATGAGAACCCAGCAAGCCTAACAGCAAGTTCATGACCACAGCGAGATCCTGGCAGGTATGAGCCCCTTATTCTTGCTCTTCTCTGGGAAACCAGACATGCATTTATCCTGTGATTTTTCTTGCTGTGGCCCTGGGGAGTGAACCTAGGCTCTCATGCACATCGGACAAGTGCCATATTGATGAGCTAGAGCCTCGGCCCCTTCTCATGCTTTATGAAGCATGGGCTCACTAAACTCTCCAGTCCGGCCTTGAGCTTAAGATCATACCTCAATCTACCAGGCCATCTGATCATTCACTGTGCTCTTTCAACTTTCGACCACTTGTCTTTCTCTAAGTCTTTGCCCATCTGTGTGGCATCTTCTAAACCCTTCCAGAAGTTTCTGCTGCCCTGAATCCCACATGATTTCTCTTGTCAGATGCAGTTCCCAGATGGGGGCTGGGTTCTGTTGATGGCTCAAAACATTCTCCCATCCATCTTCACCCTGAGCATCCCACACTAATCTTATGCGGATGGACCTTGCATAGAGGAGGCAAAGCAATCACTCCACTCTGTTTCCAGCTAGCTGCTGTCTGACCCAAGGATCTCCCACCATTTTATGAGCACATCCTATTGAGAATACACTTGAAATGAATCCAAATATAGCCCCTCTCCACAAAAAGCTCATGTGAAAGTTTATCATTTCATTGTACTTGTCCTGACATCAGGACACCGTTGTATCACACTAATGGATTCTCGGACCAGTGCAAAGTGTTTTGCCATGGTTTTTTTGAGAACCAGAGGGCCTCAAACTCACTATATAGCATAGACTGGCCTTAACCTCCTAATTGACCCTCCTGCCTCTGCCTCTCAAGTGTTGAGATTACAGGCATGAACTACCATGGCCAGCTCAACCTAGAAATTTTTAAATTTTTCTTATAGCTAATTTTGGTAAGGTTTAAGTATGCCCGGTATTCACTTGGATATCAGAACATCTTTCTAAGAAAGGTGAGTTGTGACTACAAACAAATCATGAGATCAGACCCTCAAGCCACAGAGGCCAGTCCACAGCACTTACACAAAGTGTAATGCCAAGCAAGCACCGTGGTGGGTGCACAAGATAGCAGTGTTCCCCTTTGTCCTAATAAGACGGCCTTAAACAGCAATCTGATCTCAAAGCAAAGATTCTCAAAGCCCAACATCTAATCACAAATAGAAGTTGAGTGTGAGAAATAGCTGCTTCTCGCCTAATGAAAGTCTTTGAACAACCTCACATACAACAGACAAAAAGGAATATCCTCTGTGAGCATGGAAATGAACATTATCAAGTTAAGAATGAAAATTGAGGGGGTGGAGAGATGGCTCAGTGGTTAAGAGTACTTGCTACACACACATATACACACACACACACACACTTAAAAGTAAAATATTTTAAAACAAAAAGAATTAAAATAGATGCATAACCTTAAAAATAATAATGAGCAATGCAAAAGACAAACTAACCATTGCTTGGGATTGCTTGTTGGTAATCCTTTGACTTCACATTTTGCTTCACTTTTGTGGGTTTTTCTGAATTTGAATCTTTCTTCCCTTTCCTCTTCAGAGGCTGAGGAGATGAGTTATCACTGGAGCCGATAGTTGACTTAGATTGGCGATAATTTCCCTAAATGACAAAGATTAGACCCTTACTATTGTCTAGTGAACTCTCAAAGGTATTCCCAGTACACGTATGTGGCTAACTAGTGATCCCAGGGATAAAGCCCTGCATTAATTTCCAACTGTTGGCCTCAGTACCACACTAACTACCAACACATCTTCCCAGAGAAGGTCTGACAGAAGAAGATGACTAAAAATAGCCACTCACAATTAGCAAGCACGTCACAGGTGCCAGACATGCCATAAAAATATTTCCCTTGGGGCACAGAGCTTGTTTAGCTCTTGGTGAGGTCAAGAGTCCATCACCATGGCACACACAAAAGAGCAAAAACAATTCCTTGGCTGGGGAGATAGATGGCTCAGTTGGTAAAGTGTTTGCCCATGCAAGCAGGAAAACCAGAGTTCAAATCCTGAAACCAACAGGAAAAGGCAGGCATGGAGGCAGTACTTGTAACCCCAGTCCTGGGGAGGGATCCCTAGAGCTCCATGACCATCCAGCCAGCCCATCCAAACTGGTGAGGCTTCCAAGCACTGTCAAAAACAAACAAATGGAAGGTATCCCAAGGAGCAACACCAGAGGTTGACCTCCAACCATATGCATGAGAACACACAATTCCCTCATCAGCTGAATGTGGCTGTTGCACCTGCCTTTACACTGTCACAAGAATGGAGGGGAACACATGTGAAGGGACTAGAATAGTGCCTCATGATAAGGGTCTGGTGTTTTCTCCAAGGTCAGAGATGATATAGATACAGATGATATAGATATATAAAGTCACATCAGAGATACGGGTGTGACTCGATGATTGAGCACTTGCTTAGCATGTGCAAGGCCCTGCATTCAGTCTCCAGCTCTGCAAGAATAAAATAGTTAAGTAAGTAAATAAATAATGAGACCATATTGGGTGCAATCTTTATGCAACATCTGTACTATCTGAAAATAAATGTAATATTAAATAAACAAATCTGCCTGGAAGCCTATTATAACTGCTCATTTTAAACATTTACATATTCAGTCACCCAAAAGCATTTAAATGGTTTTAGACATCACCCAATTAAGAATAGAAGAAAACCAGTATCTTACAAATGAAGTTATTTATGCTATTTTGTCACAGCCTACAAGAAAATGAATTATGCATAGATTTATTAACAGTATGAAAACTTGTCCAAATCTATAACATTTTTGCATAATTTAATTTTCCATTCCAACTGCAATTTAGACATCCAGTTTCCATTTAATTATTGCGTGATCTAGAAGCAGAGATGTGGTTTTTCCTTTCCCTTTTTTCAGTCACTGTCTGGCGAAGAAAGCCAGACAGCACGACAGGAGTGGTGCTTCTGAAGCCCTTAGCCAAACCCAGACTGTAGTCTGCTTCAGTGCAGCCTACTTATCCTAAGGTCTCAACACGACAAGAACTTGTGTGACAACAGGAACCCTCCACAGACAGACAGTGCTTTTCTAGGCTGTTTGGGGATGCTCTTAAACTTGGAAAGACCACAGAAAACCCGATGAGTAAGGGACTTGGGACCCAGCAAGGATGATGTATCTCCTCTCTGGGAAAGCATCACTCACCAGTCATAGGGTGTAACAAGAAAGAACAGAGACCTCATTATAGAATGCCCAGGGGTTAAGTTACCTCATTCAGAAAGGGGCACTCAGAAGGGTGGTTTAGGGAGCACTAAGAAAGATAGGTTGATGCCCTTTCCTCAACAGAAACGGAAGGGGAGTGGATTGGAGGGGTGGGAACAGAGGAGAGTGGGGGAGGGACTGGAAGGAGAGGAGTGAGGGGAAACTGTGCCAGGTATATACATAAATAAACTTATTTTAAAAAAAATAATAAAGATAGGTTGAGCTAAGTAGTGGTGGCAAATGCCTTTAATCCCATCACTTGGGAGGCAGAGGCAGAAGGGATCTCTGAGTTTGAGGCCAGCCTGGTCTACAGCGTTTCAGGACAGCACAGAACTACACAGAGAAACACTGTCTCCTGGGGGCGGGGGGAAGGAAGGAAGGAAGAAGAAAAAAGACAGAGAGGTTGAAGGCTGTGAGATGGCTCAGTGGGTAAATGTGTTAAGGTCGCCTTAAGAATTGAAAAGACTTCCTCTTGGGAAAGTTTAGACCAGGAGCAAGACCAAATAGGAATTCTCTACCTGTCTCCCAGTGTCTTCCATTTCTCTGTGGTTTGTTTTCTGTGATCTATCTGTTGTCTCTGTGTCAATGCTGCCTGTCGCTAACTAAGATCTTTGTTCTGTATTTACTGGACAGCATAGAAAATATGGTATGGGAAATGAATGAGGAATACTTTTTCACAGAAATCTTTAGCAGAGTTTCACAGGGAAGAAGTTACTTTACTGGCCAGGAGTAACACTCTGAAATGCAAACAGACATTTTCAACCTATATCCACAAGGTTGTTAAGGGTTGTTTTGCTAAATGTTGCTTCCAACCTGTTGGCTTCTTTTAGCAACTGTTAACCACAACACACACACACACACACACACACACACACACACACACACACACACACACACAATGCCTGATGGTCAGGGGCATGAAAGAATAATAGTTTAAGATTAAAGGCATGCATTTATCTTGGGTTGTAAAAACTGATTGCATGAGAAGTCCAAAACTTAGCAAGGGTTGTTCCATTGCTATCTCAAAGGCAGGAGGTTAAATTTAAACATGCTGAGTACACAGTGGGATAGCAAGCTGAATTCATAGTTCTGAATTATCTCAAATCATATTATTAAGTTGTTTACAAGTTAGATAAAAGTTCTGTTTCTGAAGACAAGAAGTTTTCAGAAAAAAATCTGTTCCCAAAGGTATAGTGCTTGCTGCACAGAGCATGAAGAGCTGTTTTCAGACCTTCAGCACACCTGTAAATTATCAGTGAGCAGTGCATGTCTATAACCCCAGAACATGAGGAGATGGGGACAAGGGCAGGAGCCTGCTGGCCAGCCAGTCTACCTAATTGACCACCACCAGGTTCAGTGAGAGGGTTATCTCAAAAACTAAGGTGAAGAGCTGTAGAACAGATTTGTACATACATGTGTATACATGTGTACATACACAACATGTACATGTGCACACACATACAAACATAACCATGCATACACACATAGTAATGAAATATATTTTAAAGACTGGTTGATTCAGGCAATCATAGAAGGAAGGAATGTTATTGATAATTGATGTTCACACATGCTCCAAACCATTCAGTAAGGACTGCTGTCCAGGAATCTTTCAAGTAAAACACAAACCCAACTTAAAGAAAAAGAATTGCTAATACTTTGTCAGATAACTTGTATAGGCAGATAATTCACACAGAAATTAAAGAGGGAGAAAGAGGAGAAGGAGGGACCGCCTGCTCCACATGTGACTTGGAAAATGATACAATCAATGTTACTGTACATCAGAGTTTTCCCCACCCCTGCTGTGATGGTAGCTGATAAAGCAGTCCTACTATGTGAAAACCCCTATTGTGATGGTAGTTCATAATGTAGCACTGCTATGTACCAACCCTTACTATAATGGTAGTTGATAAAGCAGTACTACTACATGACAACCCCTACTATGATGGTACTTGATAAAGCAGTTCTACTAAGTGCTGTTTGTATTCACACAGTATTTTCCATCTTTAAAGAAAGGTATTGTCACAAGCATTGTCTACCAAAGAGAATTCACTTTCTCAAGGTATGGTGTTTCTATTACCCTGTTTTCTGCCTGCTACCCATTCCCTATCTCTGTCTCCATCTCCCTCTCCCCACTCTGTATGAACCCCTAAGTATACGTGCAGAGGCCAGAGGCTGACAACAGGTGTCTTCTATCACTCCACCTTTTTTCCTTTTGAGGCAGGGCCCCTCACAAAGCCTAGAGCTCACCAACTGGCTAGACTAGCTGGCCAGAAAACCCAAGATTCTCCTGTCTCCATCTCCTTGTCACTGGAATTATAAGAACATGCCACTATGTCTAGCTTTTGATGTTGGAGCTGGAGATCCAAACTCTGGTCATTGTGTTTCCCAGGCAAGCACTTTACCTACGGAGTCATCTCCTCCACCACCTATGCTGAAGTCTTCTAACATCAGAAGTACTAGAAACACCCACGGTGTTGTGTGGCTCTGAAAAATCCATCCCAGAAACAGCACACTATGGCTATATGTCAAATCAAGAAGCATGCAAAGTTTATAGGAGGCCTTGGTCACTTCAGCCACTGGCCTGTCTGTATCTCACAGACTCCCCCTTCAGTCACTGGCCTGTCTGTACCTCACAGACTCCCCCTTCAGCCACTGACCTGTCTGTACCTTACAGACTCCCCCTCAGTCACTAACCGGTTTGTACCTCACAGACTCCCCCTTCAGTCACTGGCCTGTTTGTACCTCACAGACTCCCCCTTCAGTCACTAACCTGTCTGTACCTCACAGACTCCTCCTTCAGTCACTGACCTGTCTCTACCTCACAGACTCCCCCTCAGTCACTAACCTGTCTGTACCTCACAGACTCCCCCTTCAGTCACTGACCTGTCTCTACCTCACAGACTCCCCCTTCAGTCACTAACCTGTCTGTACCTCACAGACTCCCCCTTCAGTCACTGGCCTGTTTGTACCTCACAGACTCCCCCTCAGTCACTAACCTGTCTGTACCTCACAGACTCCCCCTTCAGTCACTGGCCTGTTTGTACCTCACAGACTCCCCCTTCAGTCACTGGCCTGTCTGTACCTCACAGACTCCCCCTTCAGTCACTGGCCTGTCTGTACCTCACAGACTCCCCCTTCAGTCACTGTCTTCCTGTACCTCACAGACTCCCCCTCAGTCACTAACCTGTCTGTACCTCACAGACTCCCCCTTCAGTCACTAACCTGTCTGTATCTCACAGACTCCCCCTTCAGTCACTGGCCTGTTTGTACCTCACAGACTCCCCCTTCAGCCACTGGCCTGTCTGTACCTCACAGACTCCCCCTTCAGTCACTGTCTTCCTGTACCTCACAGACTCCCCCTTCAGCCACTGGCCTGT